CACTCAAGCATGTCCGGTGGTGACGTATGTATTTGCATCGTCGTCGCAAAACTAAAACAAGAGCTTATCATCTGTGTGGCCAACATTGTAATACGTCATAGATAATTAGCATATCGTCCTAGATTACTAGTCGTCGCATATCTAAAACTCCTTAATAATAGCTCGGCGACGTAAGGCTGCCTTTAATCTATGCAAACGAGGGTGGTGCGAGTTTTGTTGTATAGCAAGTACGGTTAGGTTAGTAACTGGACAGAAATATCCATAAGCCCGGCGGATCGGCACCTTGAGTGTAGAAAGGTATATGTTAGCCAATGCGGAATGGTACTGCGTGTTGTGTGATGCAACCTGGTAGACAGCAACGTTGTTCCCTTGTAGATTGGTGTTATACGCTTCATCGTGGTTTATTAGTAATATTAATATGCCGAGGTATTAATCTGTCCAGTCACCCACATAATTGTATAAATTTTGAACCCGTGAGTAGACTTTTGAAATCATGAAATATTGTAATAAAGAAATGGGTGAAATTGTACGTATTTATTCAGTGGTTTATGTGAACGTAATTAGCATGAGAACAACTAAAGGAGAGACAATGTTAGTTTGCTTTATGTTATGATATCCACCTTTAATACATTTGTATTTCAGTTCTGTTGTAATCCCTTCGCTGGAGTGAGCAAGTAATCGTATCGTAGTCTCGTCGTTAGTTTTATCATGGAGTTTTGACACTGGATAACTACTGCATAATGTACCGTGGTTGAGAAGTCCGTCTACCGATCTTAAAGGCTCAATCACGTTGTTGAACATTTATCTTTTCTGGAATAATTATTAATGAAGGCCGGTATAACCCAATATGAACCGCCAACAGCAAGCCTACCGTTGGAAAGGCCAGCAACATAGGCCTACATCGTCCCGAACAACATGTACATGCCGGATACACTCTGTGCAGATACCCCGACACACCAACTGAAGGGTGTACCGATATTCACTGGACAATCGTCGACAATATCAATAGATGATGGGATTAGGGATGTGCAACACATATTAAGCTGCAGTAACATGCCACACAACATGCAATTTTCACAACATGCAATTTTCTACAATCTTTAGAAATCTTGGCAGGACCGCCAAGAAACTAGTGCTTAACATCCTGATACCATGTCAAACACCCGAACGAGCATTCGCAGAATTAAAGGAACAGTTTGGAAACATGACCAGCGGCGATCTATTAGCGGACTTCTACCAAAAGAACCCAGATCAAACCGGGTGAGTTGGCAAGTTTTTATGCCATCGAACTAGATGCCGTGTTGCGAGAAGTAGAAGAGAAAGTGGGACGATGTCCCATGTGTGACAGGGAAAGAATGCTCATGTCACAGCAATTAATGAGTGGACTAAAAGACAACGATGTATTTGGCCGTATAGCACCAATGAGACCGTGCAACATGCCGTTTCAAAATGTCTTATACGAAATACGGATTTTTGAGCGGGAACGAAGAAAGAAACCAAATTACGCACACCCCACCTGTGCACTAAATGTGTCCCGAACAACCAGAACAGCGAGGTTACCGCACTACGAGAACTGGTCCAAGGCATGGAAAGAAAAATGAGTTTCCTTACTGCGAAATTCAAGCTAAAGAATTGGCACAACAAAACGTAATACATTCATCATCAGTGGTTTGCAACGGATAATAATAATAATAAAAATAATTGACAAAAATAAAATAAAAATATAAAAAAAATTATAAAAAAAATTATAAAAATAATAATAAATAAATAATAAATAAATAATAAATAAATAATGAATAAATAATGAATAAATAATAAATAATAAATAATAACAGCAGCAGCAGCAGCAACAACAGCAATAACAGCAATAACAATAACAACAATAACAACAATAAAAACAACAACAACAATAACAACAACAATAACAACAACAATAACAACAACAATAACAACAACAGCAGCAACAATAACAACAACAACAACAACAACAGCAGCAACAATAACAACAATAACAACAGCAACAGCAACAGCAATAACAATAGCAATAGCAACAAATACAACAAAGTGAAAAAAGCATAAGACAATTTACTAATAGTGATAATAATAATAATAATATTAGTATAGTAATAATAAAACTATTAATAATAATAATAGTTATGATAGTTTTGGCCTACACACAGCACCATTCGTTCATATTATTTAGTGGAGATTTTGTTTCACAATTTAGCTAATTTGGTATGACATTAATTAGCAAAACAGAAATTTGACTTGCCAAAACAATGAATATAAGCAGCAAAAGTTTCAATTCCATCAGCTTTATGGTTTATAAAATATATATTTAGCAAAATTCAGCTTTTATTAGGAATTGGCTTTTTGTCTAATAACAACTACACTGCCCACACTTGATTGAAAAATTTAACACAATTATAATGTACAACATACTATAACAGTAAAAACAAAAATAATTAAATTTATGCTACCCACCATATGAACCACAGTTGTTTTAAAATATGAAAAAATACAATTCATAACAAATAAAGGACTCCAAAAACCATTCATTATTACAATCATTAGCGTTTATTACACTTTTCTTCACAATTTTATATCTATTGTACTGATAATTGGTAGCTTATTGCTTTTGGAATGAATATGAGAAGATTTCATGAGACACTTGGTACAACAATAAATATAGATCTACTGTATATGTGCTTTTACACAGCAAAGAGCAATATATATTTAATGTGAGAAATTATGTCTTGTGATTTACCTAATATATAAAATGTATATTATTACTTTACACCATGCAAATATCATTGGTATCATAAGCATTTTTTTCGGATGTCGTCAGCGCTTTGAAATTGCAAGGTATAAACAAATAATTATTCGATAGTGAGCTCCTTCGAATACTTAAATATGGTTGAATCCTTGAAGCTGGCAGAAGAGGACGTCACTAGCCCCTGGGTCTGAGGTGTTGGTTTTGAATTCTGCAGTAGGTCTGAAAGCTTCTATAATGCTCTACGAATTGGCTGTTTCAAAAAAATACATTGAGATTAATTTAAAGTTATTGTAAGAATACTGTATCATATGAACTTTTTATGTATTCACTGAAATGTCATACATTTTGATTCCATAGTGAGCATCAGTGGGCAATAATATTAATAATTTAATTCCATCTATTCCACTAAAAAAAAATGCTGAAACCTATGAGGCAAGTCTGTATACAGATTCCGGTAAGGCGAGACACTTTATGTTTTGTTTCGCGCAATGAATTTTTTATACAGTAGATAATCGAAGATGGCAGGATAAAAATAAAATTTTGTTTTCTTATTTAGCAAATAGTTTTGCTAAAAACTTAGCTGGAGTAGAAAATAAAAATAAAATGTTATTGAATGCAAAATGGGATGGATAAATGCTTCAAATTTATATAATTAGGAAGAAATACACATATCTTATCTTTGGAGATTTCAAGGCAGTGGAGGGCATAATAAAAATAAAGAAAACTTCTATTTTTTTTTCTGAAATTTCCCATTTTTCGTGGAGGTGGCTGCGCTAATTGGCAAAAAATAAAATTTTAATTTTATTCGAAATCATCAATATTTGCATTAGGTGGGTTCACTAAACAAGGTATAAAAAAGTCTTGCCTAACTAACAACTACAAACATAACGGATACATACATTGTCCTTAGCCCGTCTAACTCTCAATATAAAGGGTAATCGAGGAGCCAAGCCATTGGACACTTGCCGGTCTTGAACCGGCGTCTTCAGCACAAGAAGCAGGAACAAATACCTCTCAGCCAACTACCCAGATGGTGCATTTATATTTGTACACCCTTACAATTAGATTGGATAATAATTAATTCCCCTAAAAGTAAAACATTGCCTACCTATTACAGGTACTGAACTTATAGTAGTTCAGCTTTGCCCACTGCATTTCGCAACCTGGTTTTGCTGCACTGTAGACACATCATGGGTAAATTTCTGTACAGTATAATAAAAAAGGTGATCATGGGTTTTGTGTACAGAATATTGTGTTTCAATCAGGTCATTCTATTCATAGAAGCAACATTTAAAGGAGAAATTGTGCCTTTAATTAGTTACTATATTGTGTAGCAATGCCAGAAGCTATAAAATTGGTTGAAAATTGAACCAATATAGTGTAATAGGGGTTAATTTAATATAAGCATTTAATATTAATTATATATTTATTATCATAATCAAATTTAAATATAACTGCTATTAATTACAGTAATATTTTATTTGATATATTAATGACATAATTAATGTTGAATTATTGAATCCCGACACGGTGGCGTGCATTTCGATATTAGGAGTATGTATTATACTATCTTTACTGTACAGGATGCAGAAAACTTT